GATTTATATTTATATTTTGGAAACACGTGACGAAACGAACATGAGAGAGATTGTGATTCAGGACAAATTCTAATAGTACATTTAAAAAAAAATCAATGACATTTCAAATGGTCACACTGAATAATTTCAAATTTATTTTGGTCATTGTTTATGAAAGATTTACTACACAAGATTGCATGGACGGGATCTGTAAAATCATTCAGACTATACTGGAATGATTTCTAAAAGATTACATGCATCTCTCATTGTGACAAAAGACTGGTCTGGTCACTGTTTACTAGCTCGTATTTCCTGGAGCACCTTATACCTACAGGGGAGATAAATTATACAGTTGTCTCTATGGTTGGAGATGAAGTTCAGGATTGTAAAGAATAAATTGTGAGCTGTATTTAAAACATCTATAAAGGAATTTTCCCCCAGAGTTCCCAAAGATGTGATAGATTGAAGAACTGTTGTTTCTTGGATTGTGATATTTGTAATAAATGTATGTTCATGTGATTTTTTTTTTTTTTTTTTGTATGACTGAGTGGTGTTTATTTACACTTAGAATCAAATTTTGATGATGGTGATGATAATCTGGTTATTTAATACTGCCTTTCCAGTTATTACATAAACACTTGGCCTTAGTGTGTGATTCAGATTTTTTCTTTGTTGTCCTCAATGGAGGAATTTTTTTCTCTCAGATTTTACCTAAAAGGGCAACCTTCAGCATAGATTGTACACATATTACACAGAAGTGGCATCGTGAATTTGTGAATTTAACGCTGTTATAGCGCAAGGTACCAAACTCTTCCCAAAACTCCGTTTATTGTCCAAAATTACGTCAAGGTACCTGAAGCCGTCAACAATTTCTGCTGCCTGACAATTGATGGAGATGGGGGCGTGAGAGGTGGAGAGTACGGTATGTGTCGATGTGCAGAACTTAATATACATTTATCTACGCATTAATCCTTGAAATAACAGTGGATCACAACCAAGGTAGATACCGGTACTTGAATAATGACCGTAAAGATCTGGTAATAATTTTATTATTTACTTTTGAGTTTGAGTGAAACAGTACGGAAAGCATGTGGACTTCGTCTCAGTAAAAGTCAGTAAAAATGTGTAAATGGTCCACACCGCTGTTCTCAGGTAGGAACCTCCGGACACAGATTTTGTTGTACCGGACGGGACGTACAGGCGCGCACACACGTTCGCCGTTTCCAAGGCAACAACATCCACGTTAAGGATTTATTTTAACAACATGGACATAAAGGGACGAAGTGAGTCATTTAAATAAATGTATCATTAACACATCTTAAGGAAGGTGTAAAGTAATACTTTTAGTTCGGAAAATATGAAATAAAACAAACTTTGACAGTTCGTATTTATTTAAAGCTGTGTTTAGCTAAGGTTAGCTAACATTGACTTAGTCAGCTAACGTTAGCATAGCATAGCTAACTCACGTTATTGCTCAGTAAGGACCAAAAATTGTTAGCTGCTGAACAGCTTTGTATCTGAATGGCAATAGTGCGTTTGGTGTGAAATTTGTATCAGTTAATGTTAGCTGTTTTGTTTAGCAGCTAATTTGACGTTCCCTCCCCTAATTCTCCAGATGTCCTGAGCTGTGGAGAAAATATCGTAGACATGGTTGACATGGAAGAAGAAAACTTTGCTATTTCCAGGTGGGTTGTCTCGACCTGCTTTTAAGCCATTTGAGCAAGTCTCAGGTCAGGTCTTGATTGCGGTAGGCACCAGTGTAAGTTAAGACATTAGCATTTGAACGTTTTCTATTTTGAGCTGTGTAAATACAGTGTTTTACTTTATGAGACTTGTGCTCTAAGTCACATGCAAAGGCGAAATCATTGAATGGTCAAGCTATGTGATGATGGAATGCTTGTTTAGGATAAGATGGAACATTATTTATCTCAAGGGAAATAGTTGTGCTGCACAAAGTAGGAAAGACTGCCGACATAAAGAGTGCAAATATAAATTATCAATAACGTGCAAATCCAATATATACACAATGGAAAAATGTTCTTTATTTCTTGTTTATCTCCCTCCAGTTCCTCGGCTGCAGACGCTGCTTTTGATGCTGTTATTGGCTGCATAGAGGACATCATCATGGGTAGGACTAGTGGTGTTACACTCTAGTGGTGTTACACTCTCTCTCTCTCTCTCTGTGTGTGTGTGTGTGTGTGTATATATATATATATATAGAGAGAGTTTCAATCATAATTGTGAAAGATGAATTCAGCAACCTGACTGTACGAAGCGGTTATCATTGTATATAGAGCCACTGAAGTGGCTTTGGAGACATTATATAAATTGCTTTAACCAATTCAGTCTTGTATTTTTTATGTTCTGTGAGAGAAATTTTTACAAATTACTTTGATTCAAAGACATGTACACTTGTCGAGTAAGGCAAGTTTAGTTGTACAGCAACTTTGAACTTTGAAGGCAATTCATAGTGCTTTATAGGACATAAAAGGCATTCAGAAAAGAAATGCACGGCAATATAGAAGGACAAATTAAAGGGAATTACTGTATGGAATATATATTAGAGATGCCAACATTTGCTGCTACAATATACTTATTCTGTGTGGGCATGGTGAAAAATGTATGGCAGGAAAGTGTACAGAGGTGAAGCATTTCCACATTTCTGTTATATGGCCAGTACACTAAGCCAGCTGAAGACATATTGTAGAAATCCTCAGTGTTTCACCAGTTAATGGTGAAGATATGTGATGTTCTACATGTCCATTACTTTTCTTTTAGAGGAGGAGTTCCAGCAGCTTCAGAAGAGCTTCTTGGACAAACACTACCTGGAGTTTGATGACTCTGACGAGAACAAGCTCAGCTACACACCCATCTTTAATGCATATGTGAGTTGCTGGGCATCTTGCTCTGGCCAAATGTAACTCCCATATCTGTCTTTAAGGAATATGAGATACAATTATCTAATTTATGTAACTCTCTCTAATACACAGTTACAGAAAAATGACACTTATATATTACCTTGTCTGTAATTTCAACCTATAGCTCTATCAAAGATTATGACTTTTTACTGATAGTCTGTATTAGTCTGGTATGTAGGCTGGGGTGGTGATGGGGCAGTGGATAAGACACATGCCTTTGGTGTGAAAGACCCAGGTGCAAATCCACCGTGAGACACCAATGTGTACTTGTTGAGCAATGTGTAGGTGTTAAGCAAGATACTTAACCCCATGTCATATATAGCAATTGTAAGTCGCTTTGGGAAAAAAGCGTCAGCTAAAATTAATTTAAATAAATAAAAAGACCAAATTAATAACAACACTGTATTGTATAGGTTGACCTGCTGGAGAAACACCTGGAGCAGCAGCTGATGGAGAAGATCCCCGGCTTTACCATGAATGCTTTCACAGAGCTGCTCGTGTAAGATGTGACATTACAACTCTCCTCTAAGGCCATTTTGTCCTGGCTGTTTCCCTCTCACTACAACTCAGCCTCTGTATTTCAGTTGGAGACATATCAATAGTGACATTGAAAGCAAACACTCAACTCACACAGTAATTTGTTTGCTGCACCTGTTGCTCCCAAGATGCATTATTTTACCGCGGCCCACTAGGTGGCACAAATGTACACTGTATATGTGATGCACTTCACCAAGTGTCTCTCTTCCATCTGCAGGCAACACAAAGAGGAGGTACCAGATGACATCTTTGACATGCTGCTGACGTTCACTGACTTCATGGCCTTCAAGGAGATGTTTCTGGCATACAGAGCTGTGAGTTTTCTGCGAGCTGGAGAGCATCTTTAAACCCCTTTGTCACTGCGAATCCCAACAAGAGATTTTCAAAGTCATCACATTAGGGTTTTCTGTTTTTGTTTTCCTGTATGCATACTGACAGTTGGTGCCATAGGCTATAATTGTAAACAGATCTTTTTATTACTCTAAGCATGAGCCTGCGTTTAAGCACATTTGAATCTTGACAGATTTATGTGGGTTAATTACTGATAAGCAGTTAGGACCCCTGCTTGTAATGCTTTGCTTTAATACCACCTGTATGAATCTGTGTGTTTCTAGGAGATAGAGGGCCGGGGCCTGGACCTGAGTCAAGGACTGGTGATCACATCTCTGGTCCCCACAGGGTCCAAACTAACACACACCAAATCGCAGTGACACACACACACACACACACACACGCACAAGTCCAAACACTTGAAATGCCTCCTCCTCCATGTGTTTGTAAAATTTTGTCTGTGGGCCTTCAGAAAGTTGTTAGCTTGTTTTGTGAGTGTTGTACCCTGATGGTGAGCTGCTGGAAAGATCCACATAAACATACAGTCTGTGCACAAATAGCCCCTAACAGGAAATTCTTAATATATTCATTCCTCTGTGTTTTAAATGGTGGATGGGATGGAAGAGCCTCTTTGTAGTTAAAGAGTGATGGTTTTGGCTTCTTTCTGCTCCCCAACCACTGGATGTAATGACTGCTTAAAATATTCAAATGTGTTTAACTAGAGTTTGCAGGTGAAAGGCATAATCCTGATTGTACAACCATCCTCTTATTCTAGTATATATTTATTAAGATTTGGCATTTATTAGTTCCGCCTGGTTGGGAAGTAGGAACCCCAAATTTTGGTGCTGGTACTAGACTTGTGTGTTTCAGGTCATCCTCTTGGTTCCCATGTTCCCCTGGCAAGCAGGGGCAGAAACCCTTTGATGTGAATGTTTGAATCTGCTCTCTTTGCCTAGTATGTTTTTTCATAAGAAATGACTACAGCAGAACTGAAGTTTTAAATTATTTGGTCAGTTTGCAAACTGTGCCTGTGAAAGTGATTTTTAATGTTTATAGTAATTGTGTGTCTGCAATTTAGAAATATGATATACAGTATAGTTTTCAGTAGTTCAGAGTGTTTTCTACTTGTCTTAACATGACAGCTGTAAAAGTATATTTATGTTACTGGTGAAATATTTTTGATGTCACATTTGTTAGTAACAACATCTTTTAATATAACACAGGTCAAGCCTTAAGTGGAAATCACTCATTGCTTTATTTGTGCACGGTTGAGCCCCAGCACTCCCCACAGTGAGTTTCACTAGTGTTCAAATTCTTGGTACAAAAAGACACAACATATTTTATAAAGGCACATAAAACAGGAGTTGAGCATGGTGTCATATAAATCAAAGAAATTTGTTACACATTTGTGAGTCCTTAGTGGAAGATGCAGAAACCCTGCATCTTCTAACATACTTCAGTAAATGTGATCAAAACAGTCAATTTTTCCATTAGGGTTGCACAATATGGTTAAAAAAAATCACATTGCAATTATTTCGACAAATATGACAATTTGCAATATGATTCACGATTAGTGGAAATGATGGTTTTTGCATCACAATTTTTCATTTTTACTGACAAAACTATTAAAATCATGAAGATGTGACATTTTTGGGGTCTGTACCAAACAAACGAAATTTGTAGGGCAGGGCATCTCTGCAGCACTGCAGTACTCCATTATAATGCTGTTTTGTCACACAGTTAGTTACTGCGATGTGGATATTGCACTTGGCCATATTGGGATTTCGATAATATTTCTATTAATTGAGCAGCCCTGCACATTTTTTTAATTTATTGTAAGTGCTTTGTCTTGGGCTGTTGCCCTGGGAATTACGAGTTTGTATGTGAGCCTGGATATTCAGAGGAGGAAATGAAGATGGATTTCTGCAGGGCACAATTACTGTGGACACAGTCGTTCTTCACACCTGCACTGTCACGTTAGGTTATTAGATCCTAAAATGAACATGAAGTACACAAAACAGGCATCAAGCAGGTTATGACATGCTACAGGCTTATCACTACAATACTCACCAGCCTAACCAACGCTCTATAAACAACAAAAATACTAAACAAAGATGATGTTTCTTCATGTTTGTCCTTGATAGATGACACAGTGTAGTGCTCCACACTGGAAGGAAGTCTTTGGTCAGGCTGTCAAGTTTGGAGCCAGAAGTTCTTGCAACCGGCATGTTTAATGTAGTCTTCCATCCTCTGAAACCCCTCATTCACACAGGGTCGGAAACATTTTACACTTCATGGTGCGAATGTGCTGTTTGCGTCAATGATGTATCATGGACACAACTTTGGAGCAGTTTAGAATATTTCAAACTAATGTCATCAAAATTGTTATAAAACATTTATATATTTAGCAATTTTTTATTATTAGGATTTGTTAGAGTGTCAGAGTAAGACAAATAACTGCACTTACACTGGCTAAGAAATATTCTTAGTCTGCCACACAGCAACGTTTTTTTGTACTAACGTGTTAATTTGTGAGCTTTCGAGGGGATTTTTTGTCTTTGGAAAGAGACAGCTTAGCTGTTTCCCCTTGTGTCTTCATGCTAAGCTAAGAAAATCAGCTGCTGCCAGTAGTTCCATTGTTGTTTTAACAGACATCAGAGTGGTATCGATCTGTCTAACTCATGGCAAGAAAGTGAGTTTTGGTAATTTCCTGAAATGTTGAACTATTGTTTTAAGTGCAGTGAGGCATCTTATGTGTATTTTAAATACAAGCTGGAGGTGTTAGTAACTACGTTATGCTCTGAATATCATGATATAATTATTCATAATGCACGTATGAAGCCCACTAATTCCATATAAACAATGCCCCTGGTATTACCAAGAATTTATTTGTTGATTTACAATAGTATTATTCAGTGTATTATTTTAGGAAGGCCTGAATTTGGGGCCTTAGTGCAGTCCCCCAGAGCCCCTTAAAAGTAATACTGTGTTGTAGAGACAAACATTTTATGTGGCTAACCCAGTACTGATACACCTACTATTAGCATAATGTGAAGGTAAAGGTCCAGGGTGTTTGAATTAAAAGTAACTATAGATATGTTATTGGGAATCCTGGGGTTAAGTTAAGGTCAGGGTTTGGGTTACCAGAGTCAGCAGTCATGTGACACTGTTGAGAGTTGAGTATCAACACTGGACAATCCAAATAACTGAATTATCTTGAAGGAAAGAAAACATGAGGAGTCTTTTTCCAGGATCAGCTTCACAGGTTTGAGGCCTAGGTTGGCACTGTACTGGTGGCGGCGTTTCCTTCATCTCCCTTCCAGTCCAAATAGGAGAAGAAAGCACTAGCACCGTACGCCACGGTCACCAAGGCACCAAAGAACTGAACAGACAGAGAAGCATCAACAGGAAGTCAAAAGAGAGAAAATTACACCTCTTCAGTGACTTCAGGAAGCAGAGCAAAGGTTTCAAATCTTCAACAGCTGACATAAATAAAAGTTTAAATTGTCATCTTTAAATGCCTGGTACTCGTGATAGCTTTAACAAAGCCCTTATCTGCTGTTAACCATGGGAAATGCTAATTATTCCTAAGTGGTGTGCCTCAGAGGCAGTAAAATGCAACTGATAAGAGTCTATGCCAGGACAAGGGCTGTGGCCTGTGTGTGTGTGTGTGTGTGTGTGTGTGTGTGTGTGTCCTCATCCTTACTCTTTCTCTATGTCTTAAAACCTTTTTTAGTGGTTGTTGTTGAACATTGACTTCTCTGAAAAGCAGGGGAAGAGTGGAGTGCCAGCTTTGGTCCAAAGTTAACTTGTATTAAAAACTCTGCCAAGCACATGATATGCTTCCCTCACCCTTCATCTGCCACTGTCACATCCTCAAGTTCCGGGTGTGTGTAGGCTACCTGCCACAGCCTGATAAGTAAACACGCTTTCAGAAGCACACCTAGCCAAACAGTGATGTCAGTGAGAGGAAAGGGAAAATGTACAAAATGTGCCAGGGGTTGAAACAGTATTGTTTCTTGTCACAAGTATTTGCCTTTGCAGGGTGATCTCAGAGGGTTATTGTGCATATTTAACCACATGTTTGTGTTTGAGTTAGTGGTGTCAGGTGTCTTACAGCAGCGGCTGCCATATGTCCGTAGAAATAGGTGTGGTAGAAGGGCCGCACTGATGCTGCGTTTGCCAGGAAGGCGGTCAGATAGAGGACTGTGGCCCCGCCATTATACGCCATCACCTAGCAAAAGAGCAGAAACATTATACACATTTCCTCAGAGCTGCTCGTATCACTCCTGGTGCGCCCTTTCATTTATTGTTTATTTATGTGTTTATTGTATCTTTCTATTGCACTCTTGCTAACCTTTTCTCTATTGTTTACAATCCAGCTTTCCTAAATCTTACCTCCATTCTCATTTCATAACCTACTTTGCTTCAAATTATCTTCAATCCATGACAATAACACTTGAATCTAAATCCTGTTGCCTTCTTCTTGTTTATTTTAAAGGACCTGGTACAACATATTTTCTGCCAAAATTAGAACAGTTTTGGAGATTTCACGTGACAGATCTAATTTGTGCATACCCTGGAATAAACAATCATTTTTGAATAGCAGTAAAGCAACATTTCATGACTTCCTGAATTGAACTTCCTCTTCCTCTGTCCCTCTCTGTTCTGGTTGTGTAGACTCACCATTTGAAAGCTGTTTCTACTGTGAGCAAAGCAAAATATGGACCCCAAGAAGACTAGCTGCGCTTTAAGCCATAGCTAATGGAGATTTTGACAAATAAGTCTTAAAACCTTTCTTTCATTACACTTCACTTTTCCCTTTTCTCCTCCTCTCCTCCCTACCGTCAGGGGCCAGGGGACAGCGGCGAGTTTTCGCTGGGCGCCGAACAGGATCATGAAGAAGAGGATGGTGGTGAGGATCCACAAAGTGACGGCCACAAACATCACCCAGCCATACGCTGGCAGCAATGTATAGGGGGCGCTGGTTATCAACGCCCACTGGAGCAGCCCCAGAACCTACAGGCGTGAGAGAGAGAAAACAAGAAGGAGAGAGAGATGAAGTGGGGCAGCGACTTAAACCTGCTGAAAGTACAATAAGTTAACTGTTAATATATGAAAAGTATTTAGTTCTAAACATTAATATATAATTAGTAACTAAATTGTGAGTAAATGAAACCACATTTGAGACATTGGCTGCCTGCAGTTCACACAACCGCATGCTAATGAAAATGTTAAAGGAAAAAAATCTTTCTCAGGCAGTGCAGCGAACTGTGAACACAAAACGGGTATATTCCTAAGTTCATATGGCTAGCATGTTAGCAAACAGAAGGTACATTTCAACATTTCCCTTGCAAATGTTAGACAACATCTTTTCAGCCCAAATATTCAAGAAAGTCAACAGCAACTTCAGCCTATAATGAGTGTTTTGGGTGTGTGTTTGTGTACAGTTACACAGGCTTTCACTTGTTCCAGTGTGAATGCACCAATACATAAACACAACAGTGACACATCACCTTACACCTTAATATGGATAACATGTTAGCACTCAGTTGTGTATTTACATAAAGGCCTACAGCAGAAACAGAGCAACATTTGCATTTTTTGGAATCATGTTTCTGGCAAGTCCAATATTCACTCTCTATTGGCTCTACTTTTGTATCCACTGTCTCCTGAGGAAAATATCTGTTTCTTTCCCAGTCATTTGGTGCTGGGTACGTAGCGTACAGTGGGTTTTTAGAGCTTTATAGCAAAAACTGCAGAATTGTTTGATGTTTTATTAGTTCAACGTCTTGTGTTTTAACACAAGGTTATTTGATTGACTGTTAATATAAAATGTTGATTGTTTCAGATTAAAGTACAAAATGCCATGCTGTACAGAGGGTAACAACAACTCAACTCTCAGCACTTCCTCTTCCTCTTTTTCTTCAAAGTATTATATATTTTGCCATGAAGAAAAGGGACTGGATGACACATGGACTGTTGGTTGAGACTGTTGAGACTGCAGTCTAAAGCACTTTCAGTTTCTATGACAAAGCGCTGTATAAAGTGTAATGCATTAATGGACTGTACTGCACTGAAAAGTCCCTGTGATAATGTGCATCTGAATACTAACTCCCGCACAAGGACTGAAGATGTAAAGACTGAATATTACACTTTGAGGTGGACAGGCAGTCTCTGGGACTCTCAACATAATACAATGCAGTTATGTCTGAGATTTAAGCCTGAAAGTCACCATATAGGTTCTTTAAAACAGAGATGTCATCCAGACAAAAACCAGGTCCCCCAACTTTGCCTCTGCGTCTCTGCTTCTGTCCCGCGAGACAGGACATGAAAGGGCAGTCTATTATGTATGCAGAGCTCGTGTTTCACTTTTTACACACCTGATACACACATGCACACACTAGGAACTTCTGAGTGTTGACCTTTACAAAGAACCTATCTTCACAAAGACTTCTGAACCACAGAACAGCACATAACATTAACTTCCTGACTGAAACTGGTAAATGTTACAATAGTCCACAGCGGGAGTCAAGTTTGTTGTCTAACTTTGTTCATTTCCATTGCATGTTTGATATCACTACACTGCCAGGGCACTAAGGATTATAAGACAATTACTAGTGCAGGAAGGAACCTAATTGAAACGTATGTATCTCACCTCAAGTTAAACCATGTACTCTAAAACAAGTTCCGGTATTTATATATTATGCAGATGTGTTTTATAATGCAGTATGCATGTGGCCGGTAATTTATTAACAATGCATAGGGAAAATGAAAACTGATGTTGCCATATGCACACACACAAACACACATAGTCTGCAACACGATACTAAATGGCTCAGTCCAATTCTTGATGTTACGTAAGGTGACATTTAGCGATTTTTATATCAATAATCCTTCTAGGAAACATCTCACTCTGTTCTCGTCTTTGTCTTAAATGTTGACATGGCAAAAGACCCACACACACAGAATCTACACCTCTACTGTTTGCAATGTAGCAGAAGGTGCTGGGACTTAAGTGCCTTGTTCAAGGATACACCACAGACTGTATGGGACACACTGACTGCAGGATTCACATTTCATTGGTTTTAGCTCATAAGTCAAAGTAAGCAGTGGCAGAGTCTCTAATCAGTAATTTCATATTAACAATGGATCAAAATGTGTAATGTAAAAAGTGAATCAGCTCTACAGAGAAGATTACTGTCTTTCAACTCATTGTTTCGATTTTTTACGTCCCGCAACTTCACTGTTTTAATTTAATCTCATTGCACTCATCAGTGCTGTTTCCATTCACAGCTGTTTTCAGGAAGCCGTTTTCAGTAAAACAAAAAGCTCTAAAAACTCACTATACTACACTACCTGCCAATCATCAAACGGCAGGTTGGTGAACACTGCGCTACATTTAGCAGCTAAAGAGCCAGATATTTTTCTCAAGAGTTGATAGAGACCAAAAACAGATCCAGAAGAGGTTATTGGAATATCGGACTTAACATTTGTCAAGTGACCCATGACTCCAAATAAATGCTAAGGTTGCTCCATGTCTGCTGGATGTGTTAATACGCAACAGTTTGCTTACACTCTTGCCACGTTATAAGATGATCAAATGTCGGTGTTCAGTTTTAACAGCTTTAACATCAAAAAGTAGTTCTAAATTCTAAAATTCATAAACATCAGTTAAAATGAATTAAATAATAGTTTTTTTTGAAACACCTACTTTAAACTTACTCTATTTTACCATTGTGTTCACAACTTATTAAGCAACATTATGTATTTTATGTATTTTTCTTATCTAAATAACAGCTTCAGGATCATTTTTATGGTACACTGACCTGTAATAAGGTGAATGCTCTGTCATTGCCAATCGGGGCTCCCTACACTAGATACTGCACTATATCATTGGAATCCCACGTAGGACATTTGTCACGACAACAGTGTTATGATTTACTGCACCAATGCGATTCTTCAGCAAGCAAACTAAAAGAAGCAGCAAAAAGTATAATGTACAATGTAAGTTCTTTGGAAAAAAAAATAGCTTGTTATTCTCAGTATATCATGGCAGAGGCTGAAAGAGACCGAAGAAGATGTCAGAGGAAGCGAGGAAGAAAATAAAGAGAGAGTGACCGAGCAAGAAACCGGACAAGAGTAAATATCAGACTGGCTTTTACTTGTTGTCGTGAGCTAAAACAGCCAAAAGGATGCAGGACACATGCCGAGTTAGCTTTCTTACTGTTGGACTAGCAAGTAATAACTTATTGACTTGCTTGCTATGTCTTGTGTTGTAGCACTTGCTTGATGTTTGGCTGTTAGCAAAGTTGCTGACTCAAGCAAAAACTTAGCTAGAGGTTTCACAGACAGAGGTTGAGCCGCTAGCTGTAAATCACGAGTTGATGTTACCAGACTTGCCAGAGTACACACATTGGTAATGATACTATAAGTGCTCTTGTGTCAGTTGCTGTCTAGCTTTGTTAGCTAGCTTGCCACCCATGTTTCAAGCAACATTGTGCTGCTGCAGGAAGACAGCGGTTTTGAGCCGGAGCAGGGAGAGCGGGCAACGTAAGGCGCACTTGCTTGATGTTTGGCTGTGCTAGCAAAGTTGGCGACTTGCTAGTTTTTGATCATAAGTAATCTAATCATAACAAATGCCTGTTTACAGCAGTGAACTGCACTCTGAAACAGTAGAGGCGCCAAAAAAAATCACATCTTACATATTGTTGCTTTAAGCTTTGGACATTATAAGTATATCCATTTAAACATAGCAAGACTTATAATATTATGACACGTCATTGCACCAACTATCAATAAGTTAACTCATATTAGCCAACTAACAATCGTCTAACGCTAGTACTCTAAACTCTAAATGAAGGTGTATAGACAGGGCTCCTGTATGGGTACCTTAGATCTGGGCATGAAGATTCACTATCAAGTTTTACTGGTTTATTTACACAGGAACAACATGTAAGGAAAGTCTGTTTACCTGAACACAAACACAACTTAATGTTACCAGAAACAGTCATTATGTGATGAGATTGCTGTTTTTTCATAAATATTTGGGCAGAAAAGATGTCGTCTTTTACTTGTCATTTGTAAACAAAATGTTGAACTACCAGAGCTGATAACCTTTTCAGTACAAAAATACTAAATGTTACTAAAATAACGTCAAAAACCAATAAAGCTGACAACTCATGAAGCATAAAGAGGTGAAAAATGATTAACAGTCAGATTATATACAGAGTACTAATGGGATGGTCAGAGGAGTGTGACAGGAAGGGACAGGACCGTCAGGGACAAAGGTCTCTTGCAGGCAGGCACGTGTCTTCTGTGTGGACATAGCTCCATACAAATAGTAAGTCAGTGGCATGTATAGTGCACAAACCAAAGTTTGTTGACATGAATTCAACACTCCTGTGGCACCAGATAAAGAGTACACAATGTCTTTTATCTATAGATGCTGCGATGTTAGCTGTAACAGTTTATTACACAATGTGGTTTGCCTTTGATTCATCCTCAATAATGACTGTAACAGGTTTTAAATTTAGCAAACTTGTATATTACTGATCCTAAATTACCCACAGTCTATCCACTCATTGGCTCTTCAATTTTAACATACTGATGCTGCTGTTACATCAGAGTAAAATATGACACGCAGTTTTTATTTGTTGTCAGGATTTTGGTATAAAATAGACTGTGTAAAAGTAGTGGATGTAGTCCATTGTTGCCCATTGATTTTTTGGAGACAGACGTGACCATATTTTGACGAGAAGGTGGACTTGAGATGGGATATGCATTGCTACACCTGACGGATCCACTTATCAAGGTAGCCACACCGTAAAGCATACCCTTCTTTTTTGTCTATTTTACTCTAAATGTGGCGATCGTTTACTAAATGAACATCATGCTGCGACTAAGACCATAAATTTGGCATAAATTTTTCAGACCAGGAGGTTCCCACTTGGTATAAAATCAGAACAAACCAACTTCTGTTTTTTTTCTATATTGTTTTATACTTAACAATGACATGAAAAGACCAAAACCAACAATGAATTTATCCTTTATAGTATTTCCTGTATAGATAAAACCTGATATATCTTATTTCTCAGCACTATAGAGTTCCATTATTGTCAAAATCATTAAAAACACATCAGTTAGCCACTGTGTTGTACATGTTCTATCAATAATATCTAGAGCACCAAATGTGTAGTGATCTGCAGCTGAAACTACTCCCAACAAATGCATCTACTTCTGTTTGAGTAATGTTTGCTAAAAACTACGGTGCCCATCTGTTTAAGAAAATTAATTAGCCTTTGTAAAAATGAAACTATATATTTTTGACCAGCTGTTTTTTTAAGATCTTCAATAGGAAAGCTGAGATGGGGGTATGTAAGTCCAAAAGCACTGGGAGACAGACTAACGCATTGTTGACGCTAAGAAAAATGTAGAATATCACCAGCCTTGTCCTTTAAGAATCTGTAAATGATTCCACTAATTGTTTCAGTCATAAACAGAATAGAAAAGAACAGCCTGCTGAGCAGAGTAGAACAGAAGATACGATTGTGGTGAACAGAGTTGAATAGAGTAAAAACAGAACAGTTCGGGGTCTGTTACATACTATTTCAGCTATCATGAGGATGGCCGCAATGCTTCGGATAAAGGACAGATCCATCATAGTGGTGACGTTAGCAGTCAGCCCTCGGAGGCTGTTGCCCCCCTGCTGAGAGCTCTGGGAGTTGGGGGGGCCGGTCTCTGTGGTAACCTTGGATGGGAAGTCTGCCATGAGCACGCAGCTTGTCTGAAGATGGACGTCTCAGAAACAGCCGCGACAGCAGGAACCTCCTTAAGGATGGGATTCAGTCTCAGAATAAACGTCTGTGATGAAGATTTTCCTCCTCCAGCAGTTTTCACTCCTCAAAGAGTACTTAAATGTTGGTATTCAGTAACCATTGATCTGCTGGTGGCAACAGCAAGACTAAATCTTCAATTTAAAGTTCAGTTCTGTCCAAAACACTAATAATAAATGAAACCCAAACCAAACATACAAAAAGAAAGAAAATAAAACAATCCAAAGAGTTAAAGAGGAGCCCTCCAGGGAAATCTCGAGGTTCAGATATCCGACAGTCACTCTCTCCACCTGCACTGACAGGTGCGTAATGGTGCTGTGTGAGTCTCTCTCTCTCTCTCCCTCCCACACACAGAGACACACACTGAGTATTTTGTCATCCTCTCTCTATCTGTCTCTCCCTCTTTTACAAGCTCTATATCCCCCACCTGGCTCCTCCCACTGGCCTCTCACCTGAGTAACCCATTGATGTGTTTGAGAAGTGGGAGGAGGGAAAAAAAACAAACAAAACAAACAAAAAGGATATAATCAGCGAGGCCCCGTTGGTGTGGATTGTTCTGTGTGTGCATATCTATCCTTCACATGTATCTTGATAAGAATAAGGGGGTGATATAGTGCTGCACTGAGTTAAACAAATGACACATATGGCCTGATATGCAGTAAATGTTTAACTCAAAAACAAAATCCTACAAGCAACTGGTGGTTGTCTGTCTATGTGTGGCCCCGCCTTTCGCCCAATGTCAGCTGGGATAGGCTCCAGCCCCCCTGCGACCCTGTACACAGGATAAGCGGTTGACGATGGATGGATGGATTTTATCACAACAGATTACAAACCCAAAAGACAAAAAATGTCTGCAATGGTAGAGTCATAGCCACAATAGAGCCCAAGCTCCCCAGCTCTAATCTTTTTTTTTTTTATTACTCTTTATTTTGCATTTTTCTTATTACAACACAACATACAAAAACAAAGAACAAGGGGCACCAGATATTGTATAATAACAAAATAAAGTATTACAATTAAAGTGTTAGAATTGCTCCGCTTCTTTATATGCAAGCCATTTTTCCCAATGCTTATTATATATGTGACCTTTGATACGTAGAAATGTATGTCATTTTCTCCATTGAGTGAATCTCCTCCACTATTTCTTTCCATTGCTCAATCCGAGGTGGGTCGATCTTTAGCCAAGACCGAGTGATAGCCTTTTTACATGCAATCGTTAGAATTTTAAAAAGATAAATGTCATCTTTTTGGACCACCTCACCAGGTAGTAGACCTAGCAAGAAAATCTTGGGATCTCTAGGGATGACATAACCCATTATACTCCCAGTAATTAGAAAGATACTGTCCCAGAATTGCTCTAACTTTGAGCACGTCCAAAATATATGAGAGTGATTGGCGTTCCAATGCCCACACTGCCACCAGCATTGCTGTTGTTCACCCCTTAGTTTATTAATAATATGAGGTGTAATGAAAAATCTGACCAGATTCTTCCACCCAAATTCCCTCCATCTTTTCGAGCTAGTAGACGTTTGTTGTGTCACACACATCGAAAGCCAATCACCCTCTGACACTTCCATACACAGCTCCTTTTCCCATTTTGACTTAATATACAAGGTATTATTTCCATTTTGTTTCTGCAGAGCTTTATACAATCTAGAGACAGTTTTACTTGGTTGGAGCTTATAAGCATTAATAAAAACTTGAACAATGTCATTGCCCTCAGGAGAAATACCCACCCTTATTTCACTGTTATAGAAATGTCTCACTTGGAAATATTTGAATAGGTCCCTGTTCTCTAGATTATATTGTCTCTTGAGTTGTTCGAATGTCTTAAAGGTATTACCATCTACAAACTGGCACAGGGCCATAAGGCCTTGATCTTTCCAACTCAAGAATGAAGAATCTATTTCACCAAGTCGAAAACTCGGGTTGCAGGAGGGCCAGATCAAGAGTTTAATATCATTAGCCAATTTGTATTTATTTACAACCTCTTTCCAAATTAAAAGCGTGTCTTCAACTATACGATTCCCATCTTTGTTTGTGATAATTTTACCTCCTAGACGGGTTTGAGGTTAGCTCTGACCCTGGGTTAGTTCGATCTGTCTCCATTGAGCTTCGATTTCTGGGGAACACCAGTAGACCATATATCTCATTTGAGATGCGTAGTAGTATTCCTTCAGATTTGGAAGGGCTAGCCCGCCATGATCTTTATCAATCTGAAGTGTTCTAAATTTTATCCTTGGTCTAGCCCCTGCCCAGATAATTCGTGATATTAACCGGTCCCAAGCGTGAAAGTGTGAGTCAGAAATCCTGATAGGCAACGACATAAAAAGATACAAAAATCTAGGAAGCAGGTTCATCTTTGGTAATGTTTAGGTTATAACCAGACAGCTGACCAAACTCTGTCAAAGTTCTCATAAATTTAGGGAGGCTTGCCTCTGGGTTTTGGAGGTAGGCGATAACATCATCTGCAAAAAGTCCAATTATATGTTCAGTACTTGCAATAGTAATGCCTTTAAGCTCTTCATTTTGCCTAATAGCCTGTGCCAAGGGTTCTATGAATAATGCGAAGAGCGTTGGACTGAGGCAACAGCCTTGTCGAGTACCTCTAAACAGTTGAAATCTATCAGTTAGGTGGCCATTAATTTTTACCCTGGCCATCGGCCTGTCATACAGTGACTGAATACATCTGATAAATTGATTGTTAAAGCCAAAACGCTCGAGTACCTTGTATAAAAAGGGCCAGCTGACCCGATCAAAGGCTTTCTCCGCGTCGAGGCTGACTAAAGCCAAACTCAGTTGTTGTTTCTTGGCTTGGTCCATGACATGCAATGTTCGTCTTATACTGTCGTGAGTTTGGCGGCCTTTAATGAATCCTGTTTGGTCCTCATGAATCAAATCTATAAGATAATTCTCCATTCTCTTAGAGATTATAGAGGTAAAGATTTTATAATCGACATTCAGTATTGAGATCGGACGATATGACTCACAATATTGTATATTTTTTCCTTCCTTAGGGAGGACAGATATTACTGCCTCTCTCCATGATGGCGGTATCTCTGCTCTACTCAGAGACCAATTAAAAGACTCCAGCAGAACAGAAGCGAGTTCCTCTTTGAAAATCTTGTACCACTCATTTGAAAACCCATCGCTACCTGGGCATTTGTTAGTTTTCAGATTTCCAATAGCTGCGTCCAATTCTTTTCGAGTAATAGGGGTAGTTAATGCGCCGTTTTGTATTAATCCTAGGGAAGGCAAGTCTAAACCTCTCAAATACTGTGTAATAACGCTTTCATTTACTGGTTTTGAGGGTGTGTATAATGTTTGATAATAATTTTCAAAGATTTTATGAACTTGATTGATATCATAAGTCAAACTATCAGTTAAAGGGTCTCTAATTTTGGTAATCGAGTACTTCAATTGTTGCTTTCGGAGGCGCCTTGCTAGAATTCTTGTGGCTTTTGAACCAGATTCGTAAAAGGTCTGTTTTGAAAATCGTAATTTTTTCTCTATCTCCTCGTGTATCATATCATTTATATTATTTTTAATAACTGTTATTTGTTTGGTCAATTCTTGATCATTAGTACTTTCTTGCTGTTTTAGTTCTAAACTCCTAAGTGTCTTTTCCAACTCATCATATTTTAATCGTTTTATCTTCTTCAAATAGGCAGTTTTTGAAATGAGTCTGCCTCTCATTACTGCTTTAACTGTATCCCAAACCAGAACCGGATTTACCTGACCATTGTTATTATCTTCTATGCATTCTACTATTTCCTTCTTAATGTCATTCCTTGTGGTTTCATTGTTGAGAATGCTTATATTTAAGCGCCATAAAGTTGTTTTTGGTTGGTTAGATAAATTAATAGATAGATAAACAATATTGTGATCAGATATATCAGAAGTTCCAATTTTGCATTCCTTCACTCTAAACCTGTCAATGGTGTTCATTAAAAAGAAGTCAATCCTGGAGTGAACTTTATGTGTGAGAAAATAATGGGTAAAATCTCTCTCTTTAATGTGAAAGTCCCTCCAGACATCGAGCATACCCGTCTCTCTAATTAAACTATTAAGATCTTTTGACCTGCCAGTCTTTTGTTTTTTGGAGCTGGTTGTATCCATGGTATAATTTAGAATTGTATTCCAATCTCCAGCACAAACTAGAATCCCCTCACTTACTGAGATTATTGCATCAAAAAGCAGTTTAAAAAACTTCCTGTCACTTTCCGGTGGGACGTAAACATTAGCGAACGTAACAAAAACATTATCAATTCTCCCTTTTACGATAATAAACCTGCCTTCTTTATCAACCTTTTCAGAGATTAATTCAAAGTTTAAAGAGTTGGAAATGAGAGTAGCCACCCCTCTTTTCCTACTATTTTTACACCAGCTATGAAATGTATTAAGTACCCAAATGTTTTAAACTTATCATGTTCTTGCTTAGACATATGAGTCTCCTGTAGAAAAGCTACTTGTGTCCCATCTCTTCTCAATTTAGCTAGCACCCTTTTTCTTTTCACTGGATTACTCAGTCCATTTACATTCAAAGAAGCAATTTTTAAATCAAACGACATTGATTATAGTAATGAAAACACTTACATGGTTTAGCGGCCCCTAAAAACATTGAACAAAACACACATTGAACAAAAACAAAAAAGAACCTTAATGAACTGACTTCCAAACGGAAAGAGGATCCTTCCTCCTCCCCTGTAACCCCGTTGGCAGGTTGAGGGTTAAGTCTCTCTGGATGAGAGGGCCCGAAAAAGACAGTAGATGTGTCTGAAAACACGTCCATCTTATTAGTCCAACGTAGTCGATAAAGAGTGGCCTCTCCCACGTAGTAGATAATCAGGACCTGGCCTAAAAAAAAACAATAGCAAAAAAAACATTGCGTTGTAGCATGATGCCCTGCACCTTATTAATCCGACTGATCCCTCTGGAATTCTTGCAATTTAGCCTTCGCTCTGAGCACCACAGCGGGTCCGCTGCTGCGCGCCGGCTGCCAGCCCAATAGCTCCCGAAGACGAGACTCCGCGCTGGGCCCTCCGTCGTCTGTAACCGGCTCCTCCACTTGAAATCCGCGTCTCTTCAGCTCCTTATAGACTTCCCGAGCGCTGGAGTATGTGCGCACGCCAGACTCCCAGTGGATCCTCATGTTAGTGAACGGCGTTTGGAAACGTATGCCTTTGTCCTTGAGTATTTTTTTAATTGCGTTGTATTCTTTGCGCCTCTTAACAATCTCGGGTGCGTAGTCATGGTCGAAGTGTATAAATGCGGTGCCCACCTGTATCTTGCCTTTTTTCCACACTTCCCTCAAGATCATTTCTTTCGTAGAAAACTCCAGAAAATTAACAATTACAGCCCTCGGTGAAGCTCCGGGCGTGGGTTTACTTG